AACTGGTAGAAGTTTATTGCTTGGGATTCTTTATGTGTCAAAATAATGTAGTTATCGGTCGTGGTACAGATTTTACCAGCATGTAACAAATCTCGTTCAAATACCTCCCCTTCAAGTGATAACATCAGCCTTCGGCTTCTGTTGATAATTCATGATATCATGCGAGAACCGAATTCAATAATATTTCTAGTATTTATTTTAAAAATCCATCATCATCTGTGGGTTCAATTCGTTTCTTTCCATTTGCAGAAATTAATTTCTTTTCCCATTTTCTAAGTACGTCAACTTGTTTCAAAACCTCGCGGTTCCGATCGTAAAGGCGTTTCGCTCACAACGCAAAGTCGCATCGCCCACACATGAATAATTATATTTTGATTCTGTTCCTATTTTTAAAATTATTTGGAGGTAGTTCAAGGTTGAAGAAATTGTGCACGAAGGTTGAATAACACATTGTGCAATGTTTACTACATACAGAACAGGCCAGCTTACTACAGAATAGTATTATGAAATGTTGGTGTTGCATGTGTTGCTGAATCCATATGAAAGTTCGAAACTTCCAAACCGCGACCGCTTGATTGTACAGTAAAGGTAGGTAAATTACTAAAAAGATTTCTGGTGATTTTTAGTTATAGAAGCTACGCATCCAAACTTGAAATTTTAGACGCAGTTGCATTCTTGACGATAAAATGACGTAGTTTAATACATGCATCAAAACACTGCACTTCATAGATTTATCATGTCTTCAGCTTTACGTATTTCCAGATTCTTTAAGTGTCGTAGCCAAAATGAAATTATATACACTTGCTTTCATGTATTTTTAAGATAACCATGAGACACGTGCCCACGCGCCTGGAAATTCACTGAATGTATTCAATTTAATATTTATAACGCTTAAAATGCCGATTATACCATACACTCAGTCACTCACAATCTGAAGACATTTTGCTTGAAAATATGATTTCGCTACTTTCAGGGTTCGTAGCGGTCTTTAAAGTCCTTGAAAGTCTTTAAATTGGAATGCAGGTCTTTGAGGTCTTTGAAAAGTCTTTAAATTGTGTGAAAAAGCGAAGAAAATCTTTAAAAGTCTTTGAATTCTTTAGTGAGTATTTGATTATGCTATTTTCTAGCTAATAAAATAGATTGATTGAAGCAAGATTTTCGCAAATATCGACGAAAAGGTGCATTTTAGCATGTGATTTGACGGGATTAAGCTGATTGTCCTCAAAGGTCTTTGAAAAGTCTTCGAAAATAGGCAGAAAAAATCTTTGAAAGTCTTTGAATTTGAGATTACGAACCCTGATTTTGCCAGTTTTGGTCCGAAAGCTAGAGGGGTCAAGTTGAGCGGTCCGGATGAGAATCCTGAGATTCATTATGAAACTGGATTTGTGGAAAGTGTTATGATTTCAAATGTTTGTGATTTTTTTATTCGAGATATTTTCCGTCATACATTCCTACATTGTCATTGGGATTATTATTCAACGAATATTCCTACTGGGCACTTCACAGATCGGGAGTACAAAACCGAACAAAAACAGTGGCTGGACGAACGAACTACCGTCCAAATGCATGATGAATGGTAATTGGTGAATATATCATACGGTCAAAATAGCCTTGAGATCTTTAAAAGTTTGATAAGCCCATTTTATTTGTAATTGGTGTTTTCCGTGAAACTGACGGGTACTACATTGGGGACTACATTCTTGCAACGTTCAAGAACAAGTTGAAACAGAATATTATTCAAGGTTAAAGGTGGGCGAAATGACTTTCACTTTGGGTCTTTAAGTTGTGGGCGAAACGACTTTGGGTTGTGAGTGAAATGACTGTGAGAGAAATGCATAGATATGCATAACTTGTGGGCGAAATTACCACTGCGAATTTCCGTTGATATTTCTTGATATTTTAAAATTTGCTTCCCTAAAACGAATTGTTGGCCTACGCCTAAATGACCCATAACTATACAGTTCCTAATGCACCATAATATCAAAAACAGTTTTATTTGACCGTTTTTACCTATAATAGTTCAATTCACTATCATGGAATCCCCCGACCAAAATAAATGTTTGACTATATTTCAGTAACCTTAACAAGATGCCCTATATGAGTATATGGTAAAGTTCCAGTGGTTGAAAGTCATTAGTGATATACTTCGACTCTATCGACAGCACTGTTGACAAACTGCATAGCTTCAGGCCATTCTGCAACTGTGAATCTATCTTCAACGAACCTTACTTCCACACCTTTCTCAAACTCTCTCCTCCGCAGAGGCTTACATGAAGTTTCTAGTGGTGGAAAAGTGAGTGCGCAAGGAGTGATGGGAAGAGCGAAATAAAGGAAGCCTCTGCTAGTTAATGTCATCAATATGGCGTCGTAAATAATTGCAATTGCTAGATAGTATACTTCAAAATAAGGTTGCCGTTTTTATATCAATTTTTAAATAAGTTAGGGTTTGCGTCAGGGTTAGTATTAGGGTTTAGTTTTGCGTTAGGATAGTTTTTTCTACGTTATAAAAACGGAAACCTTATTTTGAAGTATACTTTCTAGCAATCAGCCGTATAAAATCGTTTGGAGTTCGGTTCGATATCAACCTTCGAGGGTGTTAAAACATGGTTTCCACTTTCCTTTTCAGGCGTACTTGAGTCTCCTGGAATGAATCCAATGTCAATATCTTCTTCTGTCCATTTGCACCGAAAAATATTGAGAAATTGCAAATGAATATAAATGGATATGAGCTATCTAATCATAAATATCCTCTAAATTGCAACATTTCTTTCTAAAAATGACTCTACTGCATGACCTTCGATACTCAGATTATGAAGATTTATTTCAATTTCTTCCACATTTCCGTCGATTTCAAGTTTAAAAAAGGTCAAACAACTGGTTTGGTTCAAGAACCATACTCAGGGACGTCGGAAGGGGGGGGGAGGGGCAATTTTTAGTTGGAGGGCCTAAAGGTCTTTGGGCCCCCACCTTTAAACAATGGTTCGATAAATAATAAACCACAAAGATAATTGATATTACTTCAGTTAGGCGTGTAGACAAAACAATTTGAGATATTTATAACATTTTGTTACCTTTAGAACTCTGTAAATCTCCTTCTAAAGTGCAGGAAATGGCATTTCAGAGACTCTAGTTTTGAAATTTTTCCTGGGGGCATGCCCCCGGACCCTCCTAGAATGTCACCCGTCTTCGGCGGGCAATAAGTGTGCCCCTTCACACTTCCAGAGCCGTTCCGACGCCTCTGACCATACTACATTGCATTATGTGGCAGAGCCTTCTCGGCTTCATTTCAATCTTCCCATCACACCGCGCACGCGCTCGCTTTTATTCAGGAAACTTCATGTAAGTTATTTGTAAATACTTAAAGAGGCTCTGCGGAGGAGAGAGTTTCTCAGAGCTAATACGAAGATCCACGAAAATGGAAGGTGCCTAGAGGATCACCTTTCTTCACTTCCTTCCCTTAATAAACCTCACGAGAACAGATTGAGATCTCAGCCATTCCCATTGCGACAAAGATCAATTTATCAATTTCTGGTTTGCCTAGTGCCACTAATATAAACAAGCGTCGACCTAGTAATTCGAAGGTCGCGGGTTCAAGACCCAGCCGCGGCAGAAATATCTTTCTGCTTGCGCTGGGTATGGAAATTATGAAATACACATTCGAGAACATTTTCAACTTTTCAACTTACTGCATAATCCCAGTGCTGTGTGATGCATTCTGCGTCCTTGTCCTCGAACGTAAATTTGTCAATGCACTCCAAAATTTCCTTACAGCATCTATATTCTCTAGCGTCCTGCAATAATTCGTCGCTACAATGTCCACATGAGCACCTTAAAATAAACTCGCATATCAGACGAAACAGGGTAATAAATAGTCGAGGAACGGGTTAATATAATATTACTTTTATAATTTTACTTACCATGAATTAACAGCTACATTTTTCTTAAATCTCGCCTCAAGAGTTTCATGAAGAATGCCGTCTTCGTCCGTTTGATCTTCCTCGTAGTCACTATCTGCGACTGGCTCAAATTGATATGGCTGAACAACAGACGATTGCTCAGCGATGTCCTCATTATCTGTTCACCCTACTGTCTCTGTCTGTGATTCAAAGCTTTCGTTATCGGACATTTTTATAGCGAAATATAAAGGCAACTGTCTGATGTTTGTGATATTTTGATGTTTTCGTATAGTCAAACACTTCGACGTGTCACACTGCATACGTCACAAGGCCGGAATTCTAGGTACCAGTCTTTCACCAGTAGATAGTCTCAAAATCGAACTTTAATCGTAAAATTAACAAACTTCTGGTTCGAATTTTTCAACAAGGTTGGTATTTTTATGATCGGGAAAGACCAAATTTTCAGAAAATGCAAAAAATCCGATATTGAAATTTTTATTTCATATACACTTTAACTTCAGACGAATCACCTTCGCTCGAAACGTCGAAATTCTCCTTATATTTTCCTGGTATAGTTGCATCCTGTGGCCGGACATTTTGCCGAATGACATTTTGCCGAAAGACATTTTGCCGAACCGACGTTTTGCCGAACGGACGTTTTGCCGAACGGACGTTTTGCCGAACGGACATTTTGTCGAACGGGCAGTTTGACGAACGGATATTTTGCCGAAAATAGAGATATCTTCTGAACTTTAAAGGTTCGCTTACACGGTCAAAGTTTCTGTGATAAAGTCATTAATTGTCGGAAACTTCGTTTGTGTATAGTTTCGTTTTATATTTTTTCAACTTTTGACAAGTTTACAGAAAATTCGCGATATAAAAAATAACATCATTCATTAATGTGATTTCCCCGAGAACTGTGAATGTATTCCATGAATCTCGAAGTGAAATTCGCTTACGTAGTCTTTATATACGCTTGTTTGTTTACAATCTGGCGTCAAAACACGTTCCTAACAAATGAGTCATCCGCTGCACAAACAAGCTACCAATGGTCAATATGGTTATGCACTGCTAACAAGCATTATTATACATTTAATATGTATTCTCGTTTCTAATTGGTCAGAAAGCAC